ACAAATCATTTTTACAACTTAATTCTTTTACACAGATTCATTGACTTATTCAATTACACCAAACTGGGTTTGAACCCAGCAAAGACGCAGCCAGACTGAAGATGACAAGTCCCCGTAGCATAAACACGTACACACCCACACCCCCCACACACACACACACCCACACCCACACACGGCTAACCCCACTGAAATATTAAGTGTGCCCCCTCAATACGCCAGCAGGTAACCAGGAACAGCTTGTGTGTTTTAAGTTCATGGAGCTACTGGGCTCAGCGCGAGTGTATTGGTCCTCACAAACACAGTATAACAGGAATGTGTGTGTGGCGCGCAAAGTTAGAGAGGTTGTTTTAAGCGACGAGGTGGATTCGTCACAGTCACAATAACCATGACATGAAATGTTCATATCCTACAACAGGGATGTTCTTCTGGCAAACGGGTAGATAAATAAGGATCTCACCGAATTTGGTGGAAGCTGCATCTCGTTCGTTACATTCGCCATCTTCCCTCTAACTGTCTGCACCTGCGCTTGGGTTCAGAAGCCTGTTAAAGCGCAGTATTTTCAGCGCCCCAAGACCATAAAGTTCCGAGACGCTGATTGGCCATTAAATTCACCTAGCAATAGTACATGATTGACAGATTCTCTGCAAATGTGGGTCAGTCTGATCAGCGCCCCCAGAACAGAGACGGTAGGAGGCTGTCTGTGGAAATCCACAAATTAATGACAGTAGATAGGGAAATGTAGTTTATATAATTTGTTTTGCTTATAGGTACACAGTCTAGAGAGTAAAACTGACATTTATGAGTTAATTTCTAAAAATATATTTTACGTTTCTCTCTTCTTATCAGGGAGGGCGGTGCCCCAGCGCCCCCTATGGGCCGGCCGCCACTGACCGCTAACCTAAACTGAATTCAAACCATAGTACGAAGTCTAACCCAAAGAAGAAGATTTTACCAGAAGACTACAGTTCTTCTGGGCCTTCCACCATAACATTCAGGGGAGATTTTGATAAGGGGGGGGGCCTAATCCAAAATAACACTTTTGTTTTGAGAGCAGGCTGCACAGGAATTTACCGTCAGCCTTGAAGTCTTTTCATGCCGGCTCTACGTGATGAATCTAATATTCCAAATGTGTTCGGTTTTTCCAAGATATTATCCCATCTCACCTTTGAGTTCAACCACCGCCGCCAGCCTGCGTTCAGTCGCACCCAGCATACAACCAAGGTGAAACAGATTTACTGGGATATTCAACATGCAAAAAAATATATCTCCAAGTTTAACAGAAAGTTTCCAAGAAAAAATATGCTAAACTATATTTAAAATGAAGCATTTCCATATTTTCCTGGATGGATGGAATTGAAATAGTAAATTCTAGGGATGAATGATTCATCGATTTTGGCATCAGAATCGGCTGTTATTCATTATTTCTATATATTTCTATATATATATATATATATATATATTTTAATATCAGAGTACTGTGGTTCTCTTGTGTTCTTAACAAGTGGAAAGCATCAACATATAGATGTTTGAGCTCATTTTTGGAAAATATAGACCCTACTGAAAGTGTTCAGGTTGAATAGCTGTAGGTCCATCAGCCCCCACCCTTAGAGCACCCGCACCCTTAGAGCGCCCCCATCCTAAGAGCGCCCCCACCCTTAGAGCGCCCGCACCCTTAGAGCGCCCCCACCCTAAGAGCGCCCGCACCCTTAGAGCGCCCCCACCCTTAGAGCGCCCGCACCCTTAGAGCGCCCGCACCCTTAGAGCGCCCCCATCCTAAGAGCGCCCCCACCCTTAGAGCGCCCCCACCCTAAGAGCGCCCGCACCCTAAGAGCGCCCCCACCCTGTGAGCGCCCCCACCCTAGGAGCGCCCGCACCCTTAGAACGCCCCCACCCTAAGAGCGCCCCCACCCTAGGAGCGCCCGCACCCTTAGAACGCCCCCACCCTAAGAGCGCCCCCACCCTGTGAGCGCCCCCACCCTAGGAGCGCCCGCACCCTTAGAACGCCCCCACCCTAAGAGCGCCCCCACCCTAGGAGCGCCCGCACCCTTAGAACGCCCCCACCCTAAGAGCGCCCCCACCCTAGGAGCGCCCGCACCCTTAGAACGCCCCCACCCTTAGAGCGCCCGCACCCTTAGAGCGCCCCCACCCTTAGAACGCCCCCACCCTAAGAGCGCCCCCACCCTAAGAGCGCCCCCACCCTTAGAACGCCCCCATCCTAAGAGCGCCCGCACCCTAAGAGCGCCCCCACCCTTAGAACGCCCCCACCCTAAGAGCGCCCCCACCCTTAGAACGCCCGCACCCTAGGAGCGCCCCGCACCCTTAGAACGCCCCCACCCTAAGAGCGCCCGCACCCTTAGAACGCCCGCACCCTTAAAACGCCCCCACCCTAAGAGCGCCCGCACCCTAAGAGCGCCCCCTACCTAAGAGCGCCCCCATCCTAAGAGCGCCCCCATCCTAAGAGCGCCCCCACCCTTAGAACGCCCGCACCCTAAGAGCGCCCCCACCCTAAGAGCGCCCGCACCCTTAGAGCGCCCCCACCCTAAGAGCGCCCGCACCCTAAGAGCGCCCCCACCCTAAGAGCGCCCGCACCCTTAGAGCGCCCCCACCCTAAGAGCGCCCGCACCCTAAGAGCGCCCCCACCCTAAGAGCGCCCCCACCCTTAGAGCGCCCGCACCCTTAGAGCGCCCGCACCCTTAGAACGCCCCCCACCCTAAGAGCGCCCCCACCCTAAGAGCGCCCCCACCCTTAGAGCGCCCGCACCCTTAGAGCGCCCGCACCCTAAGAGCGCCCTTACCCTTAGAGCGCCCGCACCCTAAGAGCGCCCGCACCCTTAGAACGCCCCCATCCTAAGAGCGCCCCCACCCTAAGAGCGCCCGTACCCTTAGAACGCCCCCACCCTAAGAGCGCCCGCACCCTTAGAGCGCCCCCACCCTAAGAGCGCCCGCACCCTTAGAACGCCCCCATCCTAAGAGCGCCCCCACCCTAAGAGCGCCCGCACCCTTAGAACGCCCCCACCCTAAGAGCGCCCGCACCCTTAGAGCGCCCCCACCCTTAGAGCGCCCGCACCCTTAGAACGCCCCCACCCTAAGAGCGCCCCCACCCTTAGAGCGCCCGCACCCTTAGAACGCCCCCACCCTAAGAGCGCCCCCACCCTTAGAGCGCCCGCACCCTTAGAGCGCCCCCACCCTAAGAGCGCCCCCACCCTAAGAGCGCCCCCACCCTTAGAGCGCCCGCACCCTTAGAACGCCCCCACCCTAAGAGCGCCCGCACCCTAAGAGCGCCCCCACCCTAAGAGCGCCCGCACCCTTAGAGCGCCCCCACCCTTAGAGCGCCCGCACCCTTAGAGCGCCCGCACCCTTAGAGCGCCCCCACCCTAAGAGCGCCCCCACCCTTAGAGCGCCCGCACCCTTAGAACGCCCCCACCCTGAGAGCGCCCGCACCCTTAGAGCGCCCCCCACCCTTAGAGCGCCCGCACCCTAAGAGCGCCCCCACCCTAAGAGCGCCCCCACCCTTAGAGCGCCCGCACCCTAAGAGCGCCCCCACCCTAAGAGCGCCCGCACCCTAAGAGCGCCCCCCACCCTTAGAGCGCCCCCACCCTAAGAGCGCCCCCACCCTTAGAGCGCCCCCACCCTAAGAGCGCCCGCACCCTTAGAGCGCCCCCACCCTAAGAGCGCCCCCACCCTTAGAGCGCCCGCACCCTTAGAGCGCCCCCACCCTTAGAGCGCCCCCACCCTAAGAGCGCCCGCACCCTTAGAGCGCCCGCACCCTAAGAGCGCCCCCACCCTTAGAGCGCCCCCACCCTTAGAGCGCCCCCACCCTAAGAGCGCCCGCACCCTTAGAGCGCCCGCACCCTAAGAGCGCCCCCACCCTTAGAGCGCCCCCACCCTTAGAGCGCCCCCACCCTAAGAGCGCCCGCACCCTTAGAGCGCCCCCACCCTAAGAGCGCCCCCACCCTTATAGCGCCCCCACCCTTAGAGCGTCCCCACCCTTAGAGCGCCCCCCACCCTTAGAGCGCCCGCACCCTAAGAGCGCCCCCACCCTTAGAGCGCCCCCACCCTTAGAGCGCCCCCACCCTTAGAACGCCCCCACCCTAAGAGCGCCCCCACCCTTAGAGCGCCCGCACCCTTAGAACGCCCCCACCCTTAGAGCGCCCCCCCCCGAAGAGCGCCCCCACCCTAAGAGCGCCCCCACCCTTAGAGCGCCCGCACCCTTAGAGCGCCCCCACCCTTAGAGCGCCCCCACCCTTAGAGCGCCCGCACCCTAAGAGCGCCCCCACCCTTAGAGCGCCCCCACCCTTAGAGCGCCCCCACCCTAAGAGCGCCCCCACCCTTAGAACGCCCCCACCCTTAGAGCGCCCCCACCCTTAGAGCGCCCGCACCCTTAGAGCGCCCCCACCCTTAGAGCGCCCCCACCCTTAGAACGCCCCCACCCTTAGAGCGCCCCCACCCTAAGAGCGCCCCCACCCTTAGAGCGCCCCCACCCTTAGAGCGCCCGCACCCTAAGAGCGCCCCCACCCTTAGAGCGCCCGCACCCTTAGAACGCCCCCACCCTTAGAGCGCCCCCACCCTTAGAGCGCCCGCACCCTTAGAGCGCCCGCACCCTTAGAGCGCCCCCACCCTTAGAACGCCCCCACCCTTAGAGCGCCCCCACCCTAAGAGCGCCCCCACCCTTAGAGCGCCCCCACCCTTAGAGCGCCCGCACCCTAAGAGCGCCCCCACCCTTAGAGCGCCCGCACCCTTAGAACGCCCCCACCCTTAGAGCGCCCCCACCCTTAGAGCGCCCGCACCCTTAGAGCGCCCCCACCCTTAGAGCGCCCCCACCCTTAGAGCGCCCCCACCCTAAGAGCGCCCCCCCTGATCTAAAGCCTGAGGTTGAATAGCATTATTTCCCTTTACTGATATTAATATGTTGCTAGAGGAGAAGCTCAGTTCTAACTGATCCCTGATGTGTTCCTGCTGTTACAGTGTAAAGCGGTTCCCTGCCTCTGTGTGTTGTTTCAGGTGTGCTCTACCTGCAGTATGGGGGGGGGGGACGAAGCAGGTTCCCTTTCCAACACTCAGCAGTGGGGGCTCCCTGAGGGCTCTGTTTGTCCATGCCTTTCCCCATCAGGTCACCAGGACGACGCTGCTATCACCAAGCATGGGCTCCTGCATCAAGGACAGCAAACAAAGTGTTCCATGAGTCGGAGGACTTCAGGTGAGGGAACATTTAAAGCAGAGCAAAGAACAACAGTAACACATTAGAAGCGTTTATGTTTTATAACTCAGTTATTATGTAAGAATTATGGTTGATAAATTATAAACATATATTGGTGATCTGAATACAGTCAATTAGGTAACATAGTTCACCTCCTAATCAGCTGATTAACGTTAAAACCTGGAAAGAGTTTCCAGAGCATGAACCATCGAGACAATCATTGACTGGAGAGAGACTAGAACATTCCATTCAATTCTATTCAGTGTATTTCTATATCTCCAATTCACATCATGTCATCTCAGGTCACTTTCCAGTTCACCAGATCATCCAGTCAGATTGATTCAAAGTTTTCTATCTAAGGAAAACCAGCTGATTGCATTGACTCATTGACTCTTCAGCAATCCCTCACACTAAGCATGCTTGTAGCGACAGTGGAGAGGAAAAACTCCCTTTGAACAGGAAGAAACCTCCAGCAGAACCAGGCTCAGTGTGAGCGGCCATCTGCTGAGGCCCACTGGGGTTCAAGGAGACAGAAGCAGACATAGAAAAAGAAGCATAGATACAAAAGGCAACTGTCAACCAGCTCCACAGGCGGCCCCGTCCAGGAAACACACAGCCAGGCAGACGAGCTGGCTCTGTTTCCGTGTTTTTCACGAGCAACAAGAGTTTTATGTGAATCTGAGGGAATTAAAAAAGGAACAGACTGTCTGATAATAATCTACAATGATGTTTTCATCCAGGGACTTTTTATATGGTTAGATTAAACTCAAAGTTTAATCTCACAGTTTTGACTCAGCCAGGATTTAACACAAATGTACGGAACAGGATTAGGGCCACTGAAAAAAAAAAGTTTATTTTAAATTTTATTTCAGTTTAACATGAGAAAAAAGTCAGAATTCTGACTTTTTCATACTGAAACTGAAATAAAATTTAAAAATCAGTTAAATTTTTTTTTTTTTCCTCTGGCTAATCCTCTTCCTTACAAATGCATGCAAAGTGTTTAGACTTTTTTTTGATAAAACTTTTAGAAATATTTGCATCAATTAACCTCGTTTAGTTCACATACTTCCGTACTTTTTTCCCCCAGAGACATAACACCTCCTGTGAAAGCGTATCATAAAGACCCATTGCAACGGTTCGACCGCCAGGCCAACACTAAAGAAATAGTAAGTTAAAATGAAAGCTGCTTGTTGCTTCAAATAAAAGCACACAGTAAATATAAAAATTTTATTTGTTTAGAAACCTTAAAGCAAGAAAAAATGACAAAAACTGCTGCAGCCTTTGGAATGAAGATGTTATCTGCACATAGTGGTCTGAAGCTGTGTCGCCCCAAATGCAGGCTAAAGGTGGGGATTTTCATTATTATTATGATCCAAAAGCAAATATCAGACATCAAATAAGGCGTTAAATCTATAAACATATAATAGGAACCAAGAGGGAAGACAATGAGAAATAAACATGGCGGACAGGACAGCATAGATGAAGAAGAGATAAAGGTCAGCTCAGCTGTAGAGGTGGTCAGCATCACAGACACCCTCACCTGGACTGGAAACAGCACCTCACTGGTCCAAAGGGCCCAGAAGCGCTTGGACTTCCTGCCCCCCCATCCTCCCCCCCATAGAGAGCGTTCTGAGCAGCTGTCTCACTGTGTGGTGTGGAGGCTGCAGCGCCTCAGACTGGAAGAAGGTGAGAACAGCAGAGAGGATCATGGGGGCTCCTCTTCCCTCCATTAAAGACATTTCATCCCAACGCTGCGTGTCCCGAGCCTGTGACATCATCAATGACCCCTCACCCCCCCACCATGGACTGTTCTCCCTGCTGCCCTCTGGGAAGAGGCTTCCCAGCATTCAATGCAGGACCAGCAGGTTCTGCAGCAGCTTCTTCCCCACCGCCATCACACTGCTGAACTGATGAGAAAACTCTAAACCAGAGGTCACAGCGGTCTGGATCCGGACCCAACCTGATTTAAAACTTTTATAAATTACCACATGTGTCTAACTTCACCTGCCCCTCTTCTCCTGTTAATACGGTAAAGCCCTTAAAAACACTGATCATTTATTGAACAGGATGGAATAATTTCAGATTTAAAGGACTTTAAGAAGTTGAAATTCTGAATAAGAGCGACTTTTCCTTTACAGGTGCTGGTCATAAAATTAGAATATCATGAAAAAGTAGATTGATTTCAGTAATTCCATTTAAAAAGTGAAACTTGTATATTATATTCATACATTACATACAAACTCATATATTTCAGATGTTTATTTTGTTTAATTTTGATGATTACAAATGACAACAAATGAAAATCTCAAATTCATCATATCAGAAAATTAGAATATTACTGAAGACCAATAAAAACAAAGGATTTATAGAAATGTTGGCCAACTGAAAAGTATGAACATGAAAAGTATGAGCATGTACAGCACTCAGTATTTAGTTGGGCCTCCTTTGGCCTGTATTACTGCAGCAATGCGGCGTGGCATGGAGTCGATCAGTCTGTGGCACTGCTCAGGTGTTATGATAGCCCAGGTTGCTCTAATAGTGGCTTTTAGCTCTTCTGAATTGTTGGGTCTGGTGTATTGCATCTTCTTCTTCACAATACCCCATAGATTTTCTATGGGGTTAAGGTCAGGAGAGTTTGCTGGCCAATTAAGAACAGGGATACCATGGTCCTTCAACCAGGTACTGGTAGCTTTGGCACTGTGTTCAGGTGCCAAGTCCTGTTGGAAAATGAAATCTGCATCTCCAAAAAGTTGGTCAGCTGCAGGAAGCATGAAGTGCTCTAAAACTTCCTGGTATGTGGCTGCGTTGACCCTGGACCTCAGAAAACACAATGGACCAACACCAGCAGATGACATGGCACCCCAAACCATCACTGACTGTGGAAACTTTACACTGGACTTCAAGCAACGTGGATGAAGTGCCTCTCTTCTTTTCCTCCAGACTCTGGGACCTTGATTTCCAAAGGAAATGCAAAATTTACTTTCATCAGAGAACATGACTTTGGACCACTCACCAGCAGTCCAGTCCTGTTTCTCTTTAGCCCAGGCAAGACGCTTCTGACGCTGTCTGTGGTTCAAGAGTGGCTTGACACAAGGAATGCGACAGCAGAAACCCATGTCTTTCATACGTCTGTGTGTGGTGGTTCTTGAAGCACTCACTCCAGCTGCAGTCCACTCTTTGTGAATCTCCCCCCACATTTTTGAAGGGGTTTTGTTTCACAATCCTCTCCAGGGTGCGGTTATCTCTCTTGCTTGTACACTTTTTTCGACCACATCTTTTCCTTCCCTTCGCCTCTCTATTAATGTGCTTGGACACTGAGCTCTGTGAACAGCCAGCCTCTTTAGCGATGACCTTTTGTGTCTTGCCCTCCTTGTGCAAGGTGTCGATGGTCGTCTTTTGGACAACTGTCAAGTCAGCAGTCTTCCCCATGATTGTGTAGCCTATAGAACTAGACTGAAAGACCATTTAAAGGCTTTTGCAGGTGGTTTGAGTTAATTAGCTGATTAGAGTGTGGCACCAGGGGCCATCAATTTTGAACCTTTTCACAACATTCTAATTTTCTGATATGATGAATTTGAGATTTTCATTTGTTGTCATTTGTAATCATCAAAATTAAACAAAATAAACATCTGAAATATATGAGTTTGTATGTAATGTATGAATATAATATACAAGTTTCACTTTTTAAATGGAATTACTGAAATCAATCTACTTTTTCATGATATTCTAATTTTATGACCAGCACCTGTAAAAGGGAGTTTTTCCTCTCCACTGTCGCTACAAACATGCTTGGTGAGGGATTGCTGAAGAGTCAACGACAGAATGCAAGTCCATCCAGGAGGAGCACGTCTGTCAAGTCAATCAGTAGATGCAATTAGTAAGCTTATCCTCTTACACCCTAAGGGGTTATAAATAAATTTCTGCCTGACAAAAACACACAAAAGTAAATCACTTATAGCCTCACAGCTATTAGATTTAAGAAGAAACTTTTGGTACGTCTGTAAAGGTAAAATGTCATAGAATGGTTTTCTGGTGTCAGCACCATTGTAGCTTTGACCCTGCCTGAAATATTAGGGACAAAATACAAAATATTTTGCATTTTTTGAACCTCGCCAAAATTTTCTTTGAAATAAACATTGCAAAACACTACCAAAATATTATTTATAGCACAAAAAGTAGTACAGACTTTTAAATCTGAATGTTGTGTAAAAATATACCAAATTTGGACTCAATCAGATGAATCATATTTATTTTAGAATGGTATTAGTGAGAAATTTCTTAGGCGGAGAGGCTATTTTGGCACATTTATCCAGAAATGTCACCAAACTGTGCCAAATGTGTTTTTTACATCAATACTGGGGGTTCGGTAAAATTACGAGGTCATGTAGCAGCTGGACCCGCCGGTGGGTCCGTAGGGTTCAAGGGGTTATAACAGAATGGAGGCGCCCCTATTGGTCAGCAGCTGAACACAAACACTCAATTTAAGGAGCTAATATTCTTGGTGGGAAACATTTCCTGCTCAGAGCAATAACATGATAGAACTTTGCATGTCCCACAGCTCTAACAAGGCTTTTCACCCCCCCTGCATCCAGACCATCCTGGATCTGATCCTATGTTAGCTGCACACATGAATCCATCCTCCCCCGATTGTCCTTGTTTGCTACAACTAACCTAAGGAGGTAAAGGGAATGCTTTAATACTGAATAGATGTTCATTACAACTGAATGTCACGCAAATGTTGGTGCAGCTGTCAAAACAAGCCAGGAAAGACGAGTCAGAGGCAAGGGTGCTACGTTCAGACCGCACGCAGCAGAAGCAGCAAAAATGCATCTGCTGCTTCATTTTTAAAGTTTGCACAAGTTTAGTCCTGGTTTTAGTTTAGAAAACATGCAAATAGAAACGGATGAACGGGTCCCCCCCTTTGGAATGGGGGCCGTTTGGCTTCTTTGTTAGCCTGCAATGCCCCATACCTGTCTATGCCTCATAGTTACTGGATAAAACCTGGAACTAAACGCTATTTCTGACATTTTGAATTGAAAAAGTTTCCTGGATGGAAGAGAAACGTCTTCAGACTTGGAAACAAAGTCCAGTGAATTGATTTTTACTTTTTTGAAAAGCCTCAGTGAATTTTTGTGCAACTGGAAAAACAAAAAAAGTTCACGTTCCGGGTCTAAATTTAGAAAAGTAGACTAGATGGGCAAATAATGGATTTGTTTTGTTAGGTTTTGTTTTCTTGCTCTCGTTTCATTTCGTTTTATTTGTTTCCTTGTTTTTCAGAGGATGTCTGAAGAGGTGTTTTACAACAATCACAGTCCGATTCCCAGCATGCATTCTTCCGGCAGCAGATGGTACGGATCACCGTCCCCCCCTGTCTTCCCATCCATCCCCTCCTTTGATTCCAGACTGACTTATGGTGGAGGTGGCTCCCATGGAACGAAGGGGATGGTGAACCCCGCCTCCTTAGCACATCGGTACCAACCAAGAAGAGGGCGAACTGGGGCCTTTTTCTCCAGCAGTAGCACCATAGCAGAGAGAAGAGACGTCAAACCTGGTGAGAAGATGGAGGGTCCTTTAGTCCAGGATTAGCTCCATCAATAATCAGTCCACATGCATTTTAATCACTTAGTCCAATACATAACTTTCACACATGAACATCATGGGTCAAAATCAGAGTCCTGCAGCCGCAGGTATCCAGCAGGTATCCCTATAAAACATAAGTACAAGTAAACCCATTTTATTTGACAGGTGTGGGTACAAATGAACAAAATCTGGGTATTATAGAGTTACAGCATGATTGAAACTTATTTATACTTTATTATTTATTAACTGTACATCTTAAAAAATAAATTTAATCAAGAATATCCTGATTACAGTATATTTTTTAAGCAATGAGCCAAACCTTAATTGGGCTAAAATACAGCTGTTAATCTGTTAGCTTAGAGCTAACGATGCTAACCACTCCAACTGCATTAGCTTGAACCCTGTTTATGTTCAGAAACCCGGTCGTATGTCGCAGTTAACGCAGATATGCCCCGCCCCCTCCGCAGACACTCTGGTGCTCCTCTCCAAAACTGTAGGTGTCCGCAGAAAGGAGGCCTCTGATTGGTCAATTCTTCACCAGTTCCTGTTGGTTCCTAATGGCAGAAACTCTAGCTGTAGCGCCGTAGCCTCGTGAGACCATCCTGATCTCGCGAGCTTTCAAGGTTTCACTCGCAGATCAGTCTGGAGTCTCTCCGTTAAAGAAAATTTGGAGCCGTTCACCAAACGAACGTCCAATCAGCGTTGGCTTTGAGGCGGGTTGAGGTGTGACGCAACGAGAAGCGCGACAGTTCAGTCTAAAGAACATGGCGGCTTCAGCCGATGACACTAGCGTTAGCGTGGCTATCGAGCAAGTTTTATGGGAATTACAGAGTATTTCTTCACTGAAAGAAGAGCAAAACACTGCTCTGGAGGCTTTTCTCAGAGGAAAAGATGTTTTTGCTCTTCTACCGACTGGTTTCACCAAGAGTTTGATCTATCAATTGGCTCCTCTTCGTCGTCGCTCTGTTAGTACGTCATATGCTTCTTTGATCTGATTGGTTTATTTCGCCCGTCTATCACCAAGGCCAATCAGCTAACCAGTATTTTCGCCCCTTCCCAAAATTACTTCAACGGAAGGTTTTCAGATGGATATGCGGAGCAAATCCATCTGGTGGAGTCAGGTTAGTAGCGCCGTCCACCACGCCTGGCTCACCTCGGACTCTGTCCCAGACACCGTGCAGGACGCTAGTTTGTAGCTCTAAGTGACGCTCTGTTGGTCTGAACCGGAAGCCATTTATAAAAATAAATGACATATTAAATCTATATGCAAAGGCAATAAAATAGGTAAAAAGTAAAAATAAGGAGTTTAAGAACTGGCCTTAGAATCAGGTAGTTCAAATTAAAAGTAACTCACATCCATGTAAACCATATAAACATAACATCTCTCCTCCTCTGTGTGTCCTTGGATGTTTAGATGGAGGCAACAATCAAAGCCTGCTGAGGGATGGAGGATCGTATCACCCTCAGTACCACCATTCTGCTTCTCTGAATGAGAGAGAAGGTCACCGCAGGATCTCCTCCTGCTGCAGCAGTCCTCCGATGCTAACTGCTGGAATGGTTGATGTGGGGGTGCTTGGAATCCCTGGAGGGGTGCAACAGTACAGAGCCTCCATCAAACCATTGATGGGCTTTGAGGAACACATGGAACACCACGGCAACTCTGTTCACAGGTGGACTGACTCTAAACTCACTCTTTCTTTACACTTCCAGGGAAATCTTTCTTCAGAAATTCTAGATATCATATAGATATAGATACAGTAGAATAACATCATTGTGTAATTGCTAATTTTCTATAGAATTTTCTATTCAGTGTATTTCTATAGCTCCAATTCCCATCATGTCATCTCAGGTCACTTTCCAGTTCACCAGATCATCCAGTCAGATTGATTCAAAGTTTTCTATCTAAGGAAAACCAGCTGATTGCATCGACTCATTGACTCTTCAGCAATCCCTCACACTAAGCATGCTTGTAGCGACAGTGGAGAGGAAAAAACTCCCTTTGAACAGGAAGAAACCTCCAGCAGAACCAGGCTCAGTGTGAGCGGCCATCTGCTGAGGCCCACTGGGGTTCAAGGAGACAGAAGCAGACATAGAAAAAGAAGCATAGATACAAAAGGCAACTGTCAACCAGCTCCACAGGCGGCCCCGTCCAGGAAACACACAGCCAGGCAGACGAGCTCCGAGCCAGCTCCCATGTCAGAGGATGAAGAGAGCACATCCAGTTAGTCACAGTCAGAGAAACAGGACTACACTGGAAAACAGGCCAAGCTCCAACATCTAGAAACAAAGGTGTTGATGGCAGCAGCACAGCTGATATTTCTCTCCAGGATGGAGTCACAGCCAAACAGGAACAGACCAGATGAAGCTACTATGAGAAAAAGCAGAGAGAGCAGAACGTTAGAGATTGAACTAACAGATTCTGCAGAGTGGGAGAATAGAGATAGAATGAAGCAGAATGATGAAAAAGGGGTCCCTATGTCCTCCAGCAATATGCTGGTGAAGATTCTCAGTCATCCAGGTCATAAACAGTTAAAAACAATCCACTGGACTTTGTTTCCAAATTTAAAGACGTTTCTCTTCCATCCAGGAAGCTTTTTCAGTTTAAAATGTCTGAAATAGATTTAAATTCCAGGTTTTATAGAGTGGACCAAGAATGAAGCTTTGTTTTTGTTTATTAAACATGCATGTTTTCTACTCTAAAGCCTTTTCTGACATTTTGAGTATTTTGTTTGAGGTATAAGAAACGTAGAGCCACAGTGTTGCACAGTCAGACCCAGGGAGAAATTTCTATCCAGACTGAAATTCTATTTCTATTCTACTAATCTATGTTCATAAGCAGCATGGATATCCATCTACCTAAGTACCATCTAATGCAAATTCAAAGACCCACCTATCATTAATGTTTGGTCAGTAGAATCATGATTAGTGAGCTTCTGGAACCTCCTTGGAGAGATTTCCAGGACCGGATTGTAGAGACTTGGATGATTTTTTGAACCACTTTAAGGCTTACTGATTTGTTTTGCTTTGAATGTTTTGTCTGATTCAGGTGGAGGAGCAGGAGGTCCTGGACCCCCCCTCTTTCCCCTCACAGGGGGAATGACCTCACGATGTTCAATGGACAGGTGACTGCAGGTGCAAATCAAGTGTCTCTGCAGAGAACATCACCTGTTCACCACTTCCCAGAATTCAACAGTAGGTGCAGCGGGCTCACGGTGGATGGAATTAACCAAAGAGGCTCATCATCCTCCACTTCATCGGTGTTTCTTGACAGTCCTCTGAGGCAACCTGATGCACCGTTTCTGGCCAACATGGCAACCTGCAACAGCCAGAGGTGAGCTGCTTATAGACATGCAGAATCTGACCTGGCAACCATCCTTAAATGACCATTTTAGGTTTACTGGCCTGTTTGTGACGATCTGTACAGATGAAGCCTTGAAGGCAGATCATCCAAGGTTTGAATTTACATCAAGCAGCAAACAATAAATAACTAGAATACAATAAAAAGCAAGAAATGCAGTTAAACTGAGAGGCAACAGCTGCTGTGGGATACACTTGCAGTTATTCGCCATTTTAACCTGCTAGGTTAAAAAGTCTACCTGGACTGTGACCTTCAAGGAACCAGTCCAGAAAACCAGTCCAGAAAACCAGGTCCTTGGAGGACGCAGACAACTACACCAAGTCAAATCGCAGTGGACCCTCTCTGTACACAAACATGCAATATACACTCACCGGCCACTTTATTAGGTACCCCATGCTAGTAACGGGTTGGACCCCCTTTTGCCTTCAGAACTACCTCAATTCTGGGTGGCATAGATTCAACAAGGTGCTGGAAGCATTCCTCAGGGAGTTTGGTCCATATTGACATGATGGCATCACACAGTTGCCGCAGATTTGTCGGCTGCACATCCATGATGCGAATCTCCCGTTCCACCACATCCCAAAGATGCTCTATTGGATTGAGATCTGGTGACTGTGGAGGCCATTTGAGTACAGTGAACTCATTGTCATGTTCAAGAAACCAGTCTGAGATGATTCCAGCTTTATGACATGGCGCATTATCCTGCTGAAAGTAGCCATCAGAAGTTGGGTACATTGTGGTCATAAAGGGATGGACATGGTCAGCAACAATACTCAGGTAGGCTGTGGCGTTGCAACGATGCTCAATTGGTACCAAGGGGCCCAAAGAGTGCCAAGAAAATATTCCCCACACCATGACACCACCACCACCAGCCTGAACCGTTGATACAAGGCAGGATGGATCCATGCTTTCATGTTGTAGACGCCAAATTCTGACCCTACCATCCGAATGTCGCAGCAGAAATCGAGACTCATCAGACCAGGCAACGTTTTTCCAATCTTCTATTGTCCAATTTCCATGAGCTTGTGCAAATTGTAGCCTCAGTTTCCTGTTCTTAGCTGAAAGGAGTGGCACCCGGTGTGGTCTTCTGCTGCTGTAGCCCATCTGCCTCAAAGTTCGACGTACTGTGCGTTCAGAGATGCTCTTCTGCCCACCTTGGTTGTAACGGGTGGTTATTTGAGTCACTGTTGCCCTTCTATCAGCTCCAACCAGTCTGGCCATTCTCCTCTGACCTCTGGCATCAACAAGGCATTTCCGCCCACAGAACTGCCGCTCACTGGATGTTTTTTCTTTTTCGGACCATTCTCTGTAAACCCTAGAGATGGTTGTGCGTGAAAATCCCAGTAGATCAGCAGTTTCTGAAATACTCAGACCAGCCCTTCTGGCACCAACAATCATGCCACGTTCAAAGTCACTCAAATCACCTTTCTTCCCCATACTGATGCTCGCTTTGAACTGCAGGAGATTGTCTTGACCTTTTCTACATGCCTAAATGCACTGAGTTGCCGCCATGTGATTGGCTGCTTAGAAATTAAGTGTTAATGAGCAGTTGGACAGGTGTACCTAATAAAGTGGCCAGTAAGTGTAGTTGAATGATGACAACCACAGATCTATGCATCTGGACGATGGGAGGAAGTAAGAAAATATATTTGTATAGAAATTAAAGAAGGAATGGTTCAAGTCACGATGTGACTCAGCTGTTTTCCTTCTATGCAGAAACAGTTAACTGAGAATCAAGCCTGCTGTTAAAATCAAACTAATATAAAGACAATTACCAAAGAAAAAGTCAAACATTGCTGCATTGAATCCTAAACCAAAACCTTCTTCGGTTAAATACAGGAAGGTGTTTAATAGAAAATCAACTCCCAGTTTGAAATGAATGTGTTTTCACAGTGAGAGGATGACAGCCTTGGAGGAGCAGATAGCCGCTCTAGCAGGGCTGGTGCACCGTGCTCTGTCCGCCGATTCAGACGCTCTCGGACAAAAAGAAGCTATAAGGTTTGTAATCTAATCGCTGCTGCCGTAGGATTGAACCACTATTGAAAAACTAAAGTAGATTTAAGTTAATATTGATGTGTTTTGTAGTCAGATTGCAGAAGAAAAGCTGCTCAGCAATCAGCTTGGTGAGAGTCTGTTTTTAAGCACATCCTCTTCCTCAGGAGGACTGAATCACAATATGCTGAAAATTAAAACATTTTTTTTGGCGTCTAGAATCATCATCCGACTCAAAACTGCCCGACAGATGCAGCTCGACCTCTTTGACCCGTAACGCCACGTCCTTTGATGGGAGACTGCGACAGAACTTGATGTCTGTAAAGAGAAATATTTGTGAGCTGCGACTTCAACTCAGCGGCCTCAGGCGTCTGCAGGTACGAAGCTGCACAGGGGCGGATTTAGGAAATGTGGGGCCCTAGGCAAAGACAGGCAGGGGCCCCTCTGAATGGAGAAGACATCAAACAGCCCCATTCTCCAGATAGAGAAATGTTAATAGAATAGACATCCATTATCTGTTCTAGGTTGTGTCCCTCTCTTCTTGTCCCTTTTCTTCTTGTTTTCCTCTCTATGTTTTGTACTCAGCTGACTTTTCATGCTGTCTCTAAAGGAATGAAAGATTTTTTCCAAGCACTAAGCTCACTTAGCTGATTGCTCCTTCCTGTGTTTCCAAAAAGGCCAAAGTAAATAACCCAGTCCTTCTTTTCACTGTAGACAAGCCATGATCTGCTTATCTGTTCTCCATTTTTCATTTGGATGAAATAATAGCTGCATGAATCATGACAGCAGACAAGATAGAGGAGAGCAGGAGGCGGGGTTACCAATCTACTCGCTCTGGAGAGCAGAGTTCGCTGCTTTTAGATGTTGTCTCCAAAGTCTCCAGTAGCAGAAAAAAAGTCTCTAGATTTGGCGCTAGGAGCTTTTTAGAAATCAAAGTGCTAGAGGGGTCTGAAAAGTGGCTAAATATAGCGACTAAAGCGCTAAGTTGGCAACACTGCTCTTTGCATGGTTTGTTTTCAAATGGTTTGCTGCTGTCTGTTTGGACCTTTCTGAACATGTGCAGCAAATGGACTGATCCAATATGGTGGACACTGAAGGGGGGGGGGGCATTTCAGCCAAAGGATTTTTATCAAAAACATAATTAATGTGCACAAATAAGGAATAGTTGTATTAACCATACATGGAAACAGAGTTTTATGGGGCCCCCAGGAACTTGGGGCCCTAAACAGCTGCCTAGTATTGCCTAATGGTAAATCCCCCCCCTTAAGGCACACATTCAGTACGTACTGTGAGTTATTTCCACTTTGACTTAAATCCCCACATGCTGGTATTTGTTCTCAGTCTGTAACGTTGTCTTTGCATAACCAGTTTATGGAGGGTAAACAGTGCCGTATGAAGTTATTTATTTTTACCATAAAAAAAATGTCCCGACCACGAAGAGCAGAATAACACAGAGTTGAGAAAGACAACATTAAACTCTGAAGATGGGCCAAACATCCTTTGGGCCAGGAGTCTTCAATGTTTTCCAGGCCAAGGACCCCAAACTGATGGCAAGATGGAGAGGGGACCCCCTAATTATATATACAGTATGAAATGGTGATATATGTGTGAGAGGCAGATGGCCAAAGGGAGTTTTTCCTCTCCACTGTCGCTACAAGCATGCTTAGTGTGAGGGATTGCTGAAGAGTCAATGAGTCGATGCAATCAGCTGGTTTTCCTTAGATAGAAAACTTTGAATCAGTCTGACTGGATGATCTGGTGAACTGGAAAGTGACCTGAGATGACATGATGTGAATTGGAGCTATAGAAATACACTGAATAGAATTGAATGGAGCGACAGTGGGAAGGAACTTCTTTGGGACACATTTTGGGTCCCGCCCCTTCCTAGGCACATGGGGCTTTAGGTGTGCTCAGAATTCGCACAAGTTAGTAAGGAATTAATGTTTATTTATGTGGCAGCTTTCACAGACAGTCACAAAGTGCTTCACAAAATTACAATACAAATAAAAATACATTTACAGTCACTATGGTCATAAAACAACCTTTAATCTACGTAAGTCTAAATCTATTTGGCGATAAACTTGATTCTGATTCAAAGTCTGTGGATTTTCTAAAGGATCTGCGGCTGTAATGGCTGCAAAAGGAAATTCACAGACCAATGACCAGAAATAAAAATAAGAAAAGAGCCTATAAAATATGAACTTTATCATTAAATGCTATTATCGCTATCGTTTAATGTCATTATTGCCTTTAGGTTACATATAAAGCCAGTTGAACAAACTATAAACTGCTTGTTTTTGAGTAGCTAATAAAGAGAGAATTTTCCTTTATCTTCCAGCTATCAAATCTAGAGAGCGCGAGTGCAATGCTGCGTATGGCGGGCCCAGAGCTGGTGATGCTGATACGTGAGAAACTTGCCCAATCTGAGGAAGCTGCATACAGACAAAGAGCTGCGATGGAGGAGGAGAGGATCCGTTACCTCGCCACTGAGGAGAGACTTCTTACACAGATTAGGTAAGGTTTAGTTTGTGTCTGGTGTGTCAGTAATACTCTGCATTACAATCCTCTTTAAGCAACTACATAGAGGAGCGTTTTATTAAGTAGAATAAATCCCCCCCTTCAACCTAAACCTTAACCTGATGGAGGGATTTCAGTGCCTGGATGATCCCAAAGACTATGTAGTCGGGGGTAAATGTGCCTGGTGGGATCTCCCAAGGCAAATGACAAAGAGCGGTTCAAAAAGCCCCGTGACACGTGAAGTCGGCCTGTATGAGGTCACGACCCCACCCTGGAGCATGGGGTTAGGGTTCACCTGCAGGCCTCTGGTGGGCGGGACCCGGCCGGGCCCAGCCTGAAGGAGTGATGTGAGGTCATCCTCTAGTGGACCCAAGAAATGCAGCCAGAACCATGAAGTAAAATGTCTGCCTGGCTGTGTGTTTCCTGGACGGGGCCGCCTGTGGAGCTGGTTGACAGTTGCCTTTTGCATCTATGCTTCTTTTTCTATGTCTGCTTCTGTCTCCTTGAACCCCAGTGGGCCTCAGCAGATGGCCGCTCACACTGAGAGTGTTTAAACACTAGACATCAAGTATGGCCCAAAAATGATGCCATACTTTTCAACCCATTAGGGTTACAGAAGTATTATCTCAGCTGTTGGGATGATAATCAGCTGCTACCAGTTAGAGAAAAGCAAGTTTCTGTGATTACTATAGTTAGGCTTTATAACAACTGTCCAAAATATTCTCTAAGCTGCACAGACTCTAAAAAAGGAGGGAAAATGTCATCATACAGAAAAACGTTTTGTTAAAAGTAGTGTTGCGCTACTTTTATCAAAACACTTTTGGCTCTAAAAATGGTATCCGCGCCCTATTGGTTGGTACTGCATTTTAGTGTATCCGTATCGGTGCGATGCAAGTTAAAAGGACAGTAGCATTGTAAATATATTTTAAAAAGATAGATAAATACAGCGACAAAAAATTTTTAAAATTAAATTATCAAGTGAGGTCATAATAATAGTAATCATTAAATTTCAAGTTCATAGAGAGTCGGTTATCTTGTTAAATTGTAAAGAAATCATGTCAGAACTCGGCAGTCGCTTCATGTTTAATAGAAACTTAAGGTCAGAACAATATGGAAACAAAAAGGATCATTTCATTACGATTTTAAACTTGATTAAAAAAAAGAGCATTAAAAAGACTGTGAAGGTCTCTAAAGCTTGTCTCTGCCACCATCTGCTGTCCAGAAAAGGCCATTACAACTCTGGTTTCCCTGCTTCAGCTGTTTGGTGTCATTTTTTTTATCTCCCAGTGAACTGGAGGACTATGTGGATTGTTTGCGAAGATTGTCGTCTGTCGTCACTCAGCCATACTTCACTCTCAGAGATGTGGAGGAGGGAGAGGTTCGCCTCCGAAGGCTTGGAGATGCTCTGGCGGTCCACAGAGGTTGGTTGGTTTCTTAGTTTTCATCTGATCAACAGACCAGAGTTTGGGATTTACAACAAAGACATCACACTTTAAGCTTTTTTGTACAGTAAAAGACAAGTATAATATGTCCTGTTTTTATCCCCAATTCATATTTAATGTCTTTTTTTTGTGTCCATCTGTCCTTTTTGAATGTCTGCCAGGAGCGTTCCCAGTACTGCGGGCCAAAATGGTCTCAGTGCTGAGGGTGGAAGTGGAGGCAGTGCGCTTCCTGAGAGAAGAGCCTCACAAAATGGACTCCATGTTGAAAAGAGTCAAAGCGCAGAACGAAACTCTTGAATCTCTCCGCAGGTAATTAGCAAAGTGTGGTAATTATTGCCCCATTTCCTCTAGCCCAGGGGTGGCAAACTGGTTCCAGAAAGAGCCGTGTGGCTGCAGGTTTTCTTTCCAACCAAGCAATGGCACACCAGACTCCATACATCTCATCAAGTCATCATGTTCAGATTGGACTCACTTGATGAGATGAATGGAGTCTGGTGTGCCATTGCTTGGTTGGAAAGAAAACCTGCAGCCACACGGCTCTTTCTGGAACCAGTTTGCCACCCCTGCTCTAGCCCTTTGAAACCGATCCATGCCGACTTTGGACCGAGCTTGGATCAGATATCATCTATGTTAAAGTCGTAGGGAAGCAGCTTTTCCTATCGTTGCATTTGTGAATTCTCCCAGTGGTGCCCGACTTTACACGAGTGAATAAAATGAATGTGATTGGTCGATTATCAAGGGGGCGGGATTGTTGTGGCGGAAAGTTCGTAACCAAGTTTGGTTGTAACCGGTTTGTGGGAAGCATCTTGCTAACCAGTTAGCATCTTAGTGCTAGCAGGTTCCCAATGGGAAATTCCATTGGGACCAAGTAGCACTAAATTGGTGACTTAGAAACGACGCTGTCAAGGAACGCTATGGACAGAGGAAACATGCAAGAGGAGGAGAGTTTAGTGTCGGAGGTCGTGGATGAGTCTCCTCCGTCATCCATTTTTTATTTAGAGGAGGAAAGCGGGGACGAAGATGTTGTGGAAGAGGACGCCAGTGCGGCAGAAGCTTGGTTTGGTGTAGAAGGCTTCCAGCCGTACATGTTTGAGCCCTTGCCTCGCAACGCTGCCAGTTCTGTTAGCTCTACGCCTGCCGAAGACACAGACGTCCATCCCCGTGAACACTGGGACGCAACTCAATGGGAAAGGAAAGGATTCTGGTTTCAACCGTTGCGTATATTAGCTGCGACACATGAATCAAGATGCTATGACCGAAAACATTTGATTGACAGATGACCGTTGATATATGATTGGCCGAATTTAGGTGTTCAGGCTGACGTAGAACTAACTGGCCTGCAGAAGATAACGGAAAAAAACAGATTTTAAGACAGGATTTTTTTTTTTTATAGAAAATTTCTAACTTTTGGGACAACATGGTCTGACAAAGACAACATTTATATACATGTTTAAGCCTGAATGATTTGACATGTAAATATGATTTCCCTACAACTTTTAAGAAAGAAAAATCGGGCTTGGAGGTGACGCAGCAGTTAGCGCGCCTGACCAATGTACGGAGACCGACCCAGGACTCAGCTTTCAAAAACCTCCAATGCAGTGATAGAGTTGATTCCTTCCCGCTATCATCGCAGCCCCACCCCCTTTACAGGAGAACAGAAGACCTCACCTCTTCAGCCAGACCAGCAATTCCCTCTAATGACCCCCCTTTCAGAGACATAGACAGGTATGGGGCATTGCAGGACACTGGATAAAACCTGGAACTAAACGCTATTTTTTGACATTTTCAATTTAAAAATCTTCCTGGATGGAAGAGAAACGTCTTCAAACTTGGAAACAAAGTCCAGAGGATTGATTTTAAACTTTTTTGGAAGTTCTTACACATCATGCTAACACGGTTCCTCGCCTCCTTTTGGTGGTCCACGGGACTACAGCTCTCAAGGCAGGAATTACCTAAACAGAAATGGTGGCTCCCATGTGCCTGGATAGCTTCCTCCACCCAAAGTTTAATGAGAGCCTCGGTTTCAGCATCATCACAGGACGCACCACAGGCTTTTAATGCCAGTTATTGTTAATACGCTGAGAAGAAGTTCGTGTTGTGAACTGCAAAGCCGAACACGCTGGAAAACCTGCAAAATAAGTCATCTGACTGTAAATAGGAGACGAGGCGGTCCGCTAACGCTAGCCACAGATGAACCGTGCCGAGTTCTGCTGTTGAACTAGTACTAGATTCAACGCGCTTCAGTTGTCTCTGGGACGATCCAGTTCCATTTACTCTCAACAGTTACCATGGTTACCATGATCGGACCGGTTTCTAAAGGCTAGAGTAAATGAGGTATTTATTTCAGTCTAACAAGAAAGTTGACTTTTCCCTCTTTTGTGTTTTAAATTTAACAGACATCTGTCAGACTCCAGTTTACCCAAGCAGAGCTTCTAAAAACCCAAACCAAGGGACCAGCCAGGAATCAAAGCTCGCAGAGTTCACTCCAGTCTGAGCCCTTTACTCCGTTAAAGCTGCGCGACCTTCACCGTCCTCTAAACGCCACGCTGAGGTCCGTTCATGAGCCCCAGCCTCCATCTTCATGGACTGCAGGATGAAGAGCGCAGCAACCTTCCTCCACCAGACCAGCTCTCCTCTGACAGCCAGCCATGGACTAAACTGTATCGTAGAAAATGTGGGGACCCTCCTCCCCCACCTGTTTCTGTGGCATTAGATGCTGGTTTTTGGGTTGTTTTTTTTTCTAAATTCTGTTGACCTATATTTGTACCTACAATAAATTAAGTTGTGTAAAGAAATGTTTTTATCAACTCAATTGTTACTTTAAGAGCAGATTTCTTTATTTAAAGGAAAAGTTTGATCAGCAGGAAGAATCAATGGATCTTTATTTAAACCTAAAACTAACAAGTTCGTGGTGATTTCATGAATTTAGCGTTAATCAGTAAAAAAAATAAAAATGATAATTTTCATCGCGATCACTGAGTCTGGGAGCGGCCATATTTGCCCAAATATAGTAGCCCCTCCCTCCTGCCATCTTCCAGCAGTGACGTCACGGTGCGGTAAGCCTAGCGCCATTCTCCCCGCTTTCCAAGCTAAATCAATGGGAACTACTAGACACATCTGCAATCAACAACAATTATTGAAGATTTCCAGAGGACTTCACCATTGAAATTCACCAGAGCTATAGTGAAACTGACAATGCCCACGTGCATGGCAGCTGGATGCTGGAATACATCGGGTAAAAGTGAAAAAAAAGAGTTATTCCACCTTTCTGATTCCTGATCCTCCACGGACGGGTTGGTCGTTGGATCGCCAACTTGAAGAGGGAGGATTTGCCATCGAACTTCTGGCCAGAGAAAAAAAACGTAATATGTAGCCAACATTTGGAAGAAGAATGTTTTCAAGATGACTTGGATAATAGCGCGTTGTGACAAACACCAGATACAGCACTGGGACTTGATCAACAGCCGATACCGCACCGTGACGTCACTAACCAGTAGGTGGCAGTAGTGTTCTTTGACAAACATGGATGCCTCCAGTAAAGCACATTCACATGGAAATTACTCTGAATTAAAAACACTGATCATTTATTGAACAGGATGGAATCATTTCAGATTAAATTACAGAGCAGATAAACAAGCTGAGCGCCGAGCAGCAAAGCAACTGAATCCCAGTTTGATGCAGATTTCTGTTTTTGACGCTCAAAACGCCTTCAGAGTGAACTCGCATTTTAGGTTAGATTACATCATGCATAAAATAGTCATACATATTGTGTTATATCAATTAATTATTAATTCTGGAACTAACTCCTTTAGTTTTGTTGAATGGTGTGAATTTTTTTCCCCTCAAAGGCTTGAATCTTTTTTTTAGCGTAAATAAAACAAGACGGCTTAAAAATTTTTTTATCAAACATAATTTAAAAACATTTTATTTCCCATCTGTTAACATAACAATTAGTTTTTTGGCCATAAAAGGAGCCTCCTGTTTGTTGTTCTGAGATCAGCCTGCAGAGGGCAGCAGAGACTCATCCTAACTAAACACTAAAGTTTTAAAATGTTCCCAGTCTAACCAGAGGTGAATCAGCAGTCCTCACACTGGTTAAGCTGGAAATGAAGCAGTCTTTACTCTGTGCTAACATCTCATGACTTTACTGTGATACTCCAGGTTATTACTGATTAGATCAATGAACAAATCAAATCTATCTATAAACACATATATAGTTAATAGTTGTGAGGTTAAAACTGTCCAGTTAAAAGTTTTCTCCTCCTCAGTTTCCAGATATAAACAATGTAGATGTGTAAGCAGATTTTTAGGAGCTCCTGGTTGACTTGAGATAAAAGCAGCAGCTTTGCTTTTCCCTGAATCCACCAGATGAGACGGCTGTGAAAAAAGTATTCAACCATTCCGTTCAGTTAGATAAACAGGATTTATGGTGATTCCCAGACCTGCTCTAAAGTCTGGGAGTTAATCAGAACTAATTAAAGACTAATTAAAAAGTTAAAATCAGTCTTAGCATAGATGGCTTCCTTCACGCCCCTCTATAACCATCTGTCTTCTTTGTCCAAAAGAAAGATAGGTGGCCAGAGATAGACACTCTGGAAAAAACAGTGAAATGTAATAAACTTCAAGAAAGAACCTGGCTTCTTATGGGAATAAGGATTTTTTTGTCTCCTCCTCTTAAATACTTGCAGAAGAAACAGCCTGAGTGATAATAAGTACGAAAATGCAAAATACAGACTCATAAATCAACGTATGAAATTAGAAATGTAGATCTGCTAAATAGGCGAGGATTACTTCAACATGAGGTGGATGTTAAGAGGTTGACAGGAATCCGAATTTTTCGACCTCGGTTTCATCCTTCGATTATTTATTTTCTCTGCTCCCTGCTTGCTTGCACTTTCTGGTCCTTTTATCTGCGTCTTTCGTTTATTTCTTTTAATGTACTTGTTTGTTTTATTTTTTTCATAATAAAAAATGAAAACTCGAGAGAGAATATTAAGATCAAAAATGTAAGTAATCATTAAGATAAAAAGGAAAGATGATAAATTAAAAATACGGCTAAAAACACAAACCTGCAATTAATCCGGTGGATTAATAAAAGACAGTAAATGATTAAACCATCAAACAACAAATTAATCTCTGATTAAGTTGAATGAGAAATAATCAACAATAAGAACACTTTAAAGCTACAGTGTGTAATAATTACAGGGATATACAGTCAGAAATGTAATATATTATACATAACTATGTTATTTATCATCATCTATGAGCTCAGCCTCTTAACCTTAATATTTGCGTTGCCTTAGAATTCGTTATTTATAATTACATAGGAGCGGGTCTCGCAGCCATGGAGGCAGACATCTTTGCGCTACGGCAGCGCAGAGCCAACAAACTAGCGATTGCGAGATCGCCAAAACGTCACAACGATGTAGAAAAAATAATGGGTATATTTATTATCTTAAGTCTACATGAAATCTACACCCTACTCAGACTAATGAAATACTATCTGTAAAATTATCTATGTAAACAAACCTCATCACTTGAGAAGGTAGGTGATGCGGACGTCGTGGAAGACATTTTGTCCCGTAACGCTCGCCGTACTGTTGGGGGGGAGAAGCGGTGGGGGGGAGATGTTCATGTTGCTGCAGTCTGCAGTCTGACCGCTAGATGTCGCTAAAAGTTACACACTGTAGCTTTAAAACTTAAAAATAAAAAAGTTGGCAAAATCATCATATTAGGTTAAACATTTGTTACATATGATTTTATTTCCAAAAGAAAAAAATATATTTTCTTTTTTATTCATTTTAGAGGAAGACATTTTCTCAGCGTCATCCGTCTTTGATGGCTTTACATTCCTACAAAACATCATTAAAGGAAAATCCAACATTTAAAACATTAAATCCTTAATAAAAAGAAATAATAGAAAAATCGTGTAAAAAATGATTAGATGTGATTAGATGCATAATCATAGAATTTTTAAAAATGGAAACATCATCATAGTCGGAATCATCAAAGGAAATACTAACATCTGACATCAAAGGAATCTGAGAATTCTGAGATTAAAGTCAGAATTCTGACTTTTGACCCATACTGAACTGAAATAAAATTAAAAAATCAGTTAACTTTTTTTTTTTTTTTTCAGTGACCCTAATCCTCTTCCGTAGTTATCAGTCTTTGTAAACAGAATAAATATTAACATTCTAGCTTGAAAACTACTGGGCTTCAAAAAGCTAGGCCTCCGTTTTATTTTCAGAACAGGACGCCGGTTCACGACGTAGCCGATTTTCTACTGTAAGATCTCTAATATAGGTGCACCTGAATTGTTGGAGTGGCTTTCTCCGATCGCAGTGTACCTGCAGTGAAGAAGAGGTTTAACTGGAGCAAATCTCTGTCGAATGTGTGTCGTATCTCCAACTTAAGGCAACTTCACTGCAGTGTGTCGGATTCAGCACTGAGGGATGGCGCTGGTCGGACCCGTTAGTCTGGAAGAAGAAGGACTCCCTTGTTTGAACATGGAGGTTCTGGTAAATCGGCCCGTAGATCTACTTCATCAGCAGGATTTAACCACCAACACCTCAGGAGGACGAATGAATTTCAAACATGTCTGATTTCACCCCAACATTATGGTTTCCGGTTCCGGAGGTGTCCATCAGAGGCCAATCGCCGCTCGTTAGCTCCTGTATGCTAAACGACGCGCTGTGAAGCTGAAATTCAGCCTGATCCAGAAAATTCTTGGAGAATCGGCCTGAAGAGGGCAAAAAGTCGTAGAGTGCAGCCCGCCTTACCACTGCTGAAGCTCTGCTGTCCTGCTTTGTCTGCGCCTGTCCTCCAGCCATCAGTGTTCCAGCGGCATAATAAGATCGCCCAACCCGCTAATTGGCAAATGATTAGTCATTAGAGCCATCATATGCTAATTAGCACATAAGTTAATTTGTTGGGCCAGATGAATCCCAGCACCCATTCTGTGTAATTAGTTTGTAATTCCTCTGCATCTGGAGGAACGGGGGACGCTGGCGGTCCTGGAGAGCAGAGGGGGGGGACTGGGGACTAATTAGAACGATCTCACACAAAGCACTTCTATATTAATTACAACATTTTCCTTCTCTGATACTTTTGCATTCTTCTCTGTGTAATCAAGCTGCATCTGAGGACAGTAAACCAACAAGGAGCCCGACTGCTGCTTAATCAAAGATGTGGCTTCTTATTTGCATTTCTAATTAGGATTAATTAGGATTTCCAAACTACTGTATCCGTGTGTTAACGAGCCGATACTCTGCTGCTTTCAGGGATTCCTTCATTTATCTGAAGATCTATTTATCAACCTTAGATTCATCATTTTGCTTTTTCACAGAAAACACTTTACTACCATGAATGCATCTTATTTTGAAATGTTCACCAACCGCTGTAAATTATGGGACATGATATATGCTGGAGACAGC